GCTTTGGTCTGTCTGTCCATCTGTGAGCAGCTCTGTGGCCGTTCACCTGCAGACTCACTGTCCTGGGCAGGCAAAATTCCTGCATTAGGAGAAGAAGAAAGGCCATAAAGAGGTAGCAACCAAATATTGCCTCCCCTTCACCCCAGTGCTGGGCTGGCCACTGAGATGTGTTTGTGGTGAACTGATGAAAACCACTCTGAATTTCTTATCTTTTCTGCACTTAAAACGGAAGCTTAATGTATTCTGTGTATTTTTGTTGGCAGATAGTAGTGATCTTAAATTCCTTTTAATACAGTATTTCCACACCAACACAGCCTTGATGTGCAGCATACCTGGCTGTACCCTGTGGGATGCTTTGATTTCTCTTTGGCAGCTGCATTTTATTCTGTCTGCCCCAATCAACAACAATTCCCCTTTCTCCATGTAGCTTCCAAATCCACTCCTGGTGTGGAGTTTTAGTGCTCTGCTAGGATCTGGGCCAGAAGGGAGGAAGGAACCAGTGTCAGCTGGGCTCAGGGTTACACCTCCACTGTGGATCAGAGCCAGCCGGGCAGCAGAGGGACACCTTTTGTAGCTCAGGGTGGCATTTCTGGCAGGGAAAAGCAGCACTTTAGGGGTGCTGCTGGATGGGAGGGGGGTCAGTGGTGGATATCCCACTCCTCACTGTGTGGGATGGGGAGGAGCTCCTCCCAAGGAGGAGCATGTGTCTCCAGCTCCCAGCTCCTCCTCAAGCAGGAGCCGCTCAGTGCTCTGAAACAATGTAACTTTGCTTGCAGGTCAGGCTGTTCCTGCAGGGTCACACATGCGGCTGAACCTGCAGACAGGAGAGAGAGAAGCCAAGCTCCCAGACAGAGAAAATGGGAAAAGTGGCACAAGAGAAGAGAGAAGAAGGAAAAGGTACAGACATGCAAGGCATTGGGTTATGTGGGCTGTGGGATTCATGCCTTTTATTAGAGGCCAGGTTCCCTGGTGCTCTCAATTCCTTCCTCTTCCTGAGACTCCATTGCTGGGTGAGGAGCTCAGCAGTGCTGAAAGCAGAGGCCTGTCCTTTGTGTTCCATTTGGGATGGCAGTGGAAGTGTCCTGAGTGCACATTCAGAGGAACCTTCATGGCTTCCCATGCCACGATAACAAAACTGCTTCCACAGCGTTGGTGTAGTTCTCGCAAAGTCCTTGGGCTGTCTTGAGGTGCAGTGTTTGGGGTGAGAGGGGTCTCTCTGTGGTCTTTAGACCGAGGTACTTTCAGGGGGCTGTCTATTGGAATTTATCTGCTGCAATCTCAAAACCTTTCTCCTGTACTGCAGCGATGACGTCATCTACTGCAATGTCCAAAATTATTTGAGCCTCTGCACAAATGAGTGTATCGTCCATATAATGAAAAATGATAGTGTGAGGATGTCTTTTCCGGATGGGCGAGGGAATTTGGGCTCCAAGCCATTGACAAATAGCAGGGCTCTGCTTCCTTTTTTGAGGAAATACGGTCCACTGGTACCTCTGTAAAGGTGCTTGTCGGTTGAGGGATGGAAAAGGCAAACCAGATTTGTCATTAGGGTGCAAGGGGTAGTCAACAAATCAATCATTTAGTCCTATAACAACCGTCTATCAATCTTGGGGTGTCATGCAGGCTGAAGGCAGGCTGGGCTGGAAGGGACCCATGTCCTCAATGACCTCATTGATTTTCCTAAGGTCCTGCAGGAGCCGCTTCTTGTCTTTGCCAGGCTTTGGTATGACAAGGACAGGCACATTGCATGGGCTAGTAGACGGTATAATGTGGCCCACAGAAAGCTGCTCCTGCACGAGGGACTGCAGGGCCTTTAACTTTCTGCCTGGGAGGGGCCACTGATCCACCCATGTGTGGTCGTTGGTCTTCCTGGTTAACTGTAGGGTGGCGCCCTGCTCAGTGGCCCCGTCTAGAAACCCTGAGGTGTTGATAGGATCTCTAGCCTTGTCCCTCACTGGGACAAGAGGTCTCTTCCCCAAAGTGTTATTATTGCCCAGGTGATGAATGATCTTACTGCAGCAACTGTGCCCTCAGGACTTTCCATGCAGATGGTGTCTTGACTCCAGAAGCTGGTAGTGGCTCTCGCGATGGCTAAAATTTCCCCAGCAGCTGGAACCAGGGGCCATCCTTTAGCCAATCAGAGCGGGAAATTATCATGATGTCAGGTCCTGTATCTAATAATCCTGAAAGACATCTCTTTCTCCCCTTACACGACAAAGCACGCTTTAGAACGGGTCTATTTCAGCCTGTAATCTGTGCCCACATCACCATTGGATGAGCTGGTGTAGTGATCTTGTCCAGTAGGAGGTAGGCTCTGCCTATAACTGTTCCTTTTGGAATGAAAAGGGGAGGATCTAAGCATAGAGCCTGGAGAGTTATCTCCTGCAAAGATGTAAAGGCGACTATATCAGATAATATAGTGAGTGTCCCCATCTCTTCCCTGGTGTTGGTTTAAATCAAAATGTCTCTGCACCGTTCTTCAGGCCCGTATTTGCCTGTTGGAATATGTTGAACATAAATATTGTGGATTGGAATTGAAAAGGCTCTAACCAGCTGCCTTTGGGTTCCAGGGCAGAGCTGTCTTCTGTCGAGTTTCTGCAGCAATTGAGCTGTCCCGATGGATCTGAGAAGGTCACTGGGCTGGTTCTCCACGATGTTGGGGAGAGTAGGGCTGAACAGCCTCGCATTTGGTGTCACTGCGCGGGGCCTTTCCACGTCTGTGTGGGGTTTCCTGCAGACCACTGGTTTTGCTGGTTTTGGAAAGCATGTGGATGCGGGGGGCAGTGAGGACAGTGGTTGTGACACCTAGAAGGTCCCTGGTAATAGCCTGTATTTTTACAATTCTGTTGAAAATGCCTCATTTCCCCACGTTTTATGCAAGGTCATTTTTCATGTATAGGTTGGGAAATAACTTGGGAGGCTACTAGCACCACAAATACACTCTGACTGATAGGCTTATCTAGGCTGGCATAAAGGTGTTAGGATGCCCTAAGGGTGCATGCCTCAACTATTTGTGCAATGGTAGGTTTTGGGGAAAGTGACATGAGGGATGAGAGAAGGAGAAAAACGTATCGACATGCAAGGCTTTGGTTTAGTGGCATGTGGGATTTATGCCTTTTATTAGAGTCCAGGTTCCCTGGTGCACTCAATTCCTGCCTCTTCTTTAGATTTCATTGCTGGGGGAGGAGCTCAGCAGTGCTGAAAGCAGAGGCCTGTCCTTTTTGTTCCCTTTGGGATGGCAGTGGAAGTGCGCTGAGTACACATTCAGATGTACCTACATGGCTTCTCATGCCACAACACCAAAACTAAATGTGCAAGGTGGCTTCTTTGAATGACATTTAGTCCTTTGAAATATCTGCAGCAAGTGGTCTGAAACTGCTTTCTGAGCCTGCTCCTTGGGATCAGCTGCAAGGGGCTGAGGGCTGGCCTGAGCACAGTGCTGTGTCCCACTGGGAGCAGCCCCACAGCCTCACCTGCAGAGCAGGCACTGCCAGACGCCCTGGAGATCTTGCCTGCTCTGCACCCACCTTTATAAATGTGCTGTAAACATCAGCTGGTGCTGACTTTCCCCTTGGACCCCTTGGTTTAGTCAGTATGGGGAATTTCTTTCCTGAAGCGCGTGGGATTTCCCCCTGGCAGCTGTGATGGGGATGCTTGGGGAGTGTGGGGCTTTGGGGGCAGCTGCCCACGCAGGGGCTGAGCCCGGGCCCCTGTTGGGCCCATGGTCCCCAGCAGCAGCAGCAGCAGCCCCGGGGCCCAAAGCCCCGTGCCCCCTGCCCGGCACAGCCTGCCCTGTCCCTGCAGCTGTCACCCGAGTGGGGCCCAGGACCAGTGGCCGCTGCCAGCAGCAGGAATGCGGGCAGGGTGAGGATGCCCTGGCTTGGCTTTTGTCTCTTGAACAATGCAAGCTCAGGGCAGTGCAGAGCAGGCTGGGAAGCAGAGGCCAGAGCATTTGGAGGCTGCAAGCCTTAAAGATCAGCCCCTGCAGCAGCCCAGATGCAGGTGCCCCAGTTGCCAAGGCTGTGGTGGCCTTCAGAGTTTGCGGGGGGATTTTACATGGCTGTGGGCTGCTGCCGGCTCTGGGCCCAGGATTCCCAGTGGCTCCAGCAGGAAGGGTGGCTGAAGGTTTGCTGCCTGCTTTGGTGGCATGGCTGCAGGGGCCAGTGCTGTGAGAGCCCCCTGGGTGAGAGCTGGTGACAGCTGAGCTCTTGGGGACAGCGCTGTGCCCCAGGCCTGGAAGAGCAGCAGTGCCCAGTGCCAGTAGTGATATCAGTGGGAGCCCCTGTGCACAGGACCCCCAGCCCCAGGGTGGCTGTGCCAGCACCCCCAGGGACCTCCAGCCCTGCGAACTCGGGTCAAGAGGAACCCACAAGTGTGCAAACCCTGCCTGCGCTCAAAGGAATGGCAAAGAGAAGTGAGGTCTTAAAAAGAAGCAGTATTTATTTGCCAAAGATTGGCAAACGGTCAAATTTATGGAACCTGTTTCATTTTAAAAATCCTTATAACCACAACAATGTACAGAAGATATTTACATGGGATCCGATGGACTAACAATCTTCAAAACATATTTACAGAAATCTTAAAGGCAGTGAACATATCTACAAGAAACTTGAAGCTTTCAAACATATTTACAAAGGCGTGGCATCTGTGCCATCGTCTGCATCAGTCCTGGAAGAAAGGAAGCAGCAGAGCTGGACTCAGCTGCCAGCACGGGGCCCAGCAGGGCTGGGAGCTGGGCCCCAGGGGCTGGGCCGGGGCTGGCAGGGCTGGCGTGGCCCCAGGCAAGCGCAGGGCAGGCCAGGACTGGTGCTTGTGCCCCCACAATCCAGGCCCCCTGCGGGCACCGTGTCCCTGAGCGGGGCCATCCAGCCCAGCCCCAGCCTGGCGCCAGGGGACCCAGTGTGCCTGTGGGCAGGGCATGGGAAGCAGCTGCCTGTCTTACCTGTGGGGCTCCATCTTCATCCAAGGACCATGGGCTCCTCCTCATCATCCTCATTGACCTCCATTTCCTCGGTGTTATCCTCCTCATCAACCTGCATGTCTTCCATGTTGTCCTCCTCCTCTACTTCCATCTCCTCAATAGGGTCTTCCTCGTCCACCTCCATCTTCTCTTCCCTCTCCAGCACCATGTCCACTTCCATCTCCTCCACAGAGTCTCTGGCACTCTGCAAGGGGCAGCACAATCTCCCAGTGGGCTTCCTGTCCCACACCATCCATTCCCACATGGCTGCAGCCTGCCCAAGCCGGGTGCCCCCCTGCCGGGAATGGCACTGTACCTCCACTGTCCCAGCAGTGCACATCCTGCTTGGATCGATGCTCCTGAGCAGGCAGTGGGAAAAGCCCAGTCAGCAGCAACAGCTCAGCAGTCAGGGGCAGAGCACACAGCGAGTGGCAACTGACGCTTGGCAGCCAGTGAAGTGCCTGCTCTGCTCGTTTCCAGGTCCTGGACGTTCCACCTGGAACCCTCTGGGAGCTGTGATGTCACTGAAATTTCAGGGCTGCTGCGCAGTGGGAGATGGGGATGGCAGAATGATCCAATCCTTCAATGGTTTGGCTTGCAAGGGACTCTAAAGATCATCTGGTTCCAAGCTGAGCAACCTCCCAGCACACCAGGTTTCTGTGGCCCCTGTCCCACCTGGCCTTGGATGTTGCTGGGGATGGGGCATCCACAGCCTCTCTGCACTGGTCCCGGTGTCCGGGACAAGCACCCTGAGAGGAAAGAACTTCTTCCCATCATCAAATCTCTTCCACCTCTTGCAGTTTGATTCCATTCCCCCGTGTCCTGTCACTACAGTTCCTGACAAAGAGTCCTCTCCCACTTCCCTGTGGGTCAGGCTGTTCCTGCAGGGTCACACGTGTGGCTGAACCTGCAGACAGGAGAGAGAAGCCAAGCTCCCACTCAGAGAAAATCTCTCTTTCCCGTGACAAGAGAGATGAGAGTAGGAGGAAAAAGTAGACACATGCAAGGCATTGATTTGGGTGGGCTGTGGGATTCATGCCTTTTATTGGAGGCCATGTTCCCTGGTGCACTCAGTTCCTGTGTGGTGGCCTGCCCACAGCCAGCCTCAGTGAGTGACCTGCACTCCCAGAGCTGGGAGCACGCTTGCTCAAACTTCTGGTGAATGAGGATCTAAAGGGATCTTTGTGTGGAACTCCAAACATTGTGTATTGCGATGAAGAGGGTCCAGGGAGACAAAATGGGGCTGGGGTCACAGCGTTTTATATGGGGGAGGGGAACGGCAGCAGAGCATTACAGTAAGCCAGGACCAATAGGGTATAAGAGAGTGGGGAACATTCTAGAGGGAGTACATATAAGGAAAATTCAGCAGTTGAACTGGGTGATACCAGCAAAACGTGCGGCATCAGCATGAGCCTGCAAATGCCCATGGGTGTCACCATTGCATTCAGAGCGGTGTCTCTCTTTTACCTTGGTCACTTTCCCCTGAGGTATTACAGTTCCAATGGCAGGCCCCTGGGCCCTCACCTCTCCCTCCTTTTTGTTTTCTATCAAGAAGGCTTCTGCCATAGAGTTTTGCAGGCATTTAGCAAAAATGAATACAATAACCAGCGCAATGAATACAATAATGAAAGCCCACAAAACAGTCTTAACTAGAGATGAGAGCCAGCTTTTGATCCCCCAGTGTTTGAAAAGTCCACTGAACCAGTCGTTGTTGCTTTCCATCTGGATCTTGTTTCCTTGATCTTCTATCAGCTGGATGCTCTGGTATATTGACTCCCTCTGTGACAGCAGGTTGAAAAAACACATGCCTTCAAATGCCTGACAGCCATGGCCATGGACAAGAAATTAGGGCTTGACTGTGGAAGCACCCAGCTGAAGGCACGCGGCTCAGGGAGGAGCATCCAGATTCCCGCGGCAGCGGCAACAAACGGCAGCATCCTCTGACTTGAGCTGATGTAGTATCTGGAGGCTTGGGTGGCCTAAAAGTGAACAGATAAAGACATTAGAAGGAGAAACGTAAGTTCTGGTCCCACTAAACTTTCTCTTCTGTATGCCAAGGGTGTGAACACAGCTTATTAGAAGGATCATAGATCAATGCTAAAATATAGTTTTTACAAACTTTAAGTCATACGTCGTGGTCGTGGTTTGAGAGGAAGTGAGGTTTTTGGGATGCTGTGGTCAAACCAATGGGTGCTCAGATTGAATATTGGCACCTGGTGTGGCCACTGTGGACATGGATACATCTCTGAGAACACAGGAGTTAAAAGCAGAGAGAGAACTCCCAGGGGAAGCTCTCTTGGGTTCCGGCGAGGGAAGCAGGTCTGAGCTCCCATGCCCAGCTTCCTGCTGGGCGGGGTAGGGGAAGCCATGCAGCCAGGTGAGGAAGGTCTGGCCCCAAGGATGGAAGGGTGGAAGAGTGGAAGAGCACCGAGAGGCATCGGGCAGCCACCCACCCCCAGGAGAGAGAGAGAGAGAGAGAGAGAGAGCGAGAGAGCACGCCAGCCTGTGTCTGTGCCTGTGCTACCTTGAAACTTGATAACGTGTGCCCGCAGCACAGATGAGAAGGAGAAGGGAGGGAGCAGGGGGTGCAGCAAAAGGTGTCCGGCTGCTATGGGAGTTCCGGGCAGGCAGAGCCCGAGATTTTAACCCTTATTTTGGACAATGAAAACTTTGCAGAACAGTAACCTTCCTAGAAGAGAGATAGAGATGAAACAGAGGAAGAAATGGGCAAGTGTGATGAAAGTTCCTGCAAGTGAAAGATGTCAGAAGAGTGGGGAAGAATCTTAGGTGAGAAGAGATGATGCAGTGGCCTTAGCTGGACTTTTCTTTTATAGCCCTGGACAGAACCATGTTTCTTGTGACACAGAGACTGCATCCAGGGGGAGGCAATGGCTCAAAGCCAAGAGGGTTAAGTGATGAGATACCTTGGCCCCAGGGGGTGAAATTTGGGGGGGACAGGTGTCCCGAAAGTGAGAGATTGTGCTCTTTTTGGACCGGGACAAAGCATCCTTAAAAGGAAAACTCTAGAAGCAGCTCTGGTCCATGTGCAGTGGTGAGAGCACTGGACATGGAAGGAAGAGGTCACGATGGCAGATGTTCTCCTGGTGGTGCCACCAGTGACATGGAAACACATGTGTGGGAATCCATAAAAATCGGAGAGTTTTAGGAAGGTTGTAAAAAGGACAGGCTGCAGAAACAGCAAGAATTGTGAAGTGCTAAAGCAGCAGAAAAAGATATATAAGCTGTAGCGAAGACAACAGGGCTGTGTAATGGGCCTGATAAGTTGCAACAAGTTTATTTAGTATATATCTAGAAGGTTGTGCTTATGAATACAGCTTTATTTGTTGTCTCTTATAAACAAGCCATTGTTCTGGAGAATTTGCCCCTATCGTTTTAAGCAAAGCTACGTGTGTTTAAGATGATTGGATAGAACTACTGTTGGTATGCTTTTGCTCTATGTAATTGGCTGAGACGCATTTATGGTATGTTATAACATTAAGTTTCTTTGGCCTGCTGCCTGGTCAGCGAGCTGTACGCATCTTTCCATTGTCATAACTATGTAATGAGACTGATGCTGAAAACATAAAAAGCTCTAGACACTGATCAAAGCAGCCCCATCCTGTTTGCGTCTGTATATAAACTGCCAGCGTACCAAACATGAGGTTTTGACGGTGTTTCCTGGGGAAACTTATGGCACAAGAAGGACTCCTCTCCTCTTGATGAACAGAGAATTGATTATCTAAAGGGTGGTGATGGACCGAGAGTTGGTGATCTGAGGGATGGATGTATTGGAAATTTGGTGGGGGGAGGAGGAAATGTTTTTGGAAGGTTTTCATTTTCCCTGTGTGTTTCTTTTTACTTGTAGTGTCGTTAATAAAGTTTTCTTTTCTTTATTTCTAAGTGCGGCCCTGCTTTGCTTATTCCTGGTCACATCTCACAGCAGAAACCAGGGAGAGTGTATTTTCATGGGGGCACTGGCTTTGTGCCAATGTCAAACCATGACATATATATATAATAAAATAATAAATCAAGCCTTCTGAAATATGGAGTCAAATCCTCATCTCTTCCTGCATGCAAAGACCCCTTTGACCACCGTCACATGTGCCCTGGCTGGCTGCAGGCTGGGCACATGTCCTGCCCTCCTGCTCGGTGCCAAAGGCAGCAGGGATGGGCAGCTCTGGGCACCGCTCTGAGCACGGCCAGCACGGTCTGGGCACCGCGGGTGGCTGGGACAAGGGCACAGGAGCCTTCAGCTGATGGGCAGTTTCTGCTTTCTCTCCTTGCAGCCGGGCTCTGTGGGTGCTGAGGCTGCTCTGGGCTCTGCCAGGGCTCTGCTGGAGCTCAGCACCGGGCCGGAATCAGCCAAAGAAGAAATGGTGTGACCTGCAGCACAGACTTGCTTGAGCATTTTGGCAGCACAGCTCAAGTCTGCAGAGTGTACACCTCCAAGGGAAAACATGACACCCCTCAAAAAATAAACTTGTTCAGTAACTTCTGAAATGAAATCAATCTGGGAGGACCCCAAATGACATTTTTCAGCTTGCTGAAGCTGTAGCTCAGCCCTTCTCTGAACAGTTCTCTACCCCCCACCTGCCTTTTACTTCCCAACTGCTCCCTCTTTTCCAGCAGTGAGTTCCCCAGCCCATTGCAGTCTCCATCACACTGTTGCCTTCCTTGGTGCCCCTCTCCACGAGGAAGGCAGAGCCCCAGGCTTAGGGACTCATCCTGTCACTGGCTGAGGAGCAGCAATGTCTCAGAGGTCCAGTGGGATTTTAGTGGGATTTTAGTGTCACTCAGAGCCACTCTCCAGCCCTCAGCTCTCCTCACTGCTGAGCTCCCACTCCCTTTTCCTCATCCTTGCAGCAGGATGAGCTCTGTGAATCCCCTTGAGCCTCCCCACTCTTCCCAGCCCATGCACCTCCCTCAGTTAGGGTGAAGCTGAAGCTTCTCTGTCTCCTGTGGCACATCAGTCCAGTGCCCTGTGCAGGGAGCCCCAGCCCCAGAGCACAGCACACAACAGTGCAGTCCGGGCTGGAGCAGCTGCCCTGCAGCCCTGGCTTGGCTGTTTGTGGCAAGGGAATGCTCCTTGTTTCCAGCTGTCCCTGCAGGATGGCCCCAGGGCAGAGCCCAGCCGGGCTCCCACTG